GGGGGGGGGAGGCATAAAGTTCCACGGGGGAATAGGAGAGGGAGAGGGGAGAGGGAGCTAGGGAGTTGGGGGAGAGCTTAAGGCAGGTAGGAACAGCAGGGTGGAAGGAGCCCAGGGCAGGGCACGGAGCCGGCGCACCAGTGGTTAAGGGGACGACCCCTCCGGTGGGACAGGTCTGTGAGACTCTGTCCTTAGGGCCCTGGGCTGGGGCCTGGGAGTGAGGGTGGGCCAGGTCCTCCTACCCCACCATCCACAATTGTCTCCTGGTGCTACGAAGGTGGTGAGCCTTGCGAATGGTATCAGAGATTGACTAACTGAGAGACGGGGCTATCTTGAACCTGTTTCATATTTAAACCTTTTGTATAATCAGATCTGCTCAATTTCCCCATAATTTTGACCCACAGTCAGGCCTGCTGAAAGGGGAAGGATGGGCAAAGGGAGCAATTGCCCCAGGACCCAGTGATTCTAAGGGACCTAGGGCTCCTGGCTACTGCCACTACTGCAGCAGCTGGAGCTCCAGGCTCTTTAGAATGGTTGCCAGAGTGCCACATGGCACATTCCAGAACCCTGTGCAGCACTCTCCAGTGGATTCTGAGGCCCAGAATGGAAGGGAGTAGGGGACCAGGCCATCCACGCAGTTCTGGGGTCTGGCTATCCCAGCTCCATCCCTTCTACCTGATGCCCTGCCCCTTCTGGGGAGCACAGAGTGGGGCCCCTTCCCACATTGCCTAGGGGCCTGGGGATCCTGTTGATTCCCCTGCCCACAACAACATACAAAGGCTGAGCTGCTATAGTCCCATGTTACTGCCCCTAGCAGAGCATTGCAACGCTAGCCATCCCTTACAATATAGTAGTATGGTGTTGCTATAATCCACATCCCACTGAGAATCCCTGCACTTCCTCCCCTACCTGTCCCCCACATCCCACTTTTGCAGAAAAGAGAGGGTACACCTTTTGATTTACTGCCCCAGAAGCAAGGCCTAGAAAGCCAATCAGTAGAGATGCAAATGAACCATTATCTTTAGATGCGTTCAGCCCAAAATGAATATGGGTGGGATGAAAAAACCCAGTGGTGTCAGAATGATTAATTAGCATTAAGGTGGCTGAGCCTTTATGTAGCTATACCCAGGTAAACTTTGAGGGTCTTTACTGCAGAAACAACTGGCCCAATCTTGCGTCCACTGACGTCAGTAGTCAAACACTCTTTAGATTTAAAAATATATATATTTTAAGCCCACCATACACCAGCAGTCTGCTTGCATGGAGTGCAGGTAGGAGCAACTGTGGTTCAGCCTGAGTTTGGTCTACATAGTTGGTGTAGTAAGATGAAGGCCTAAAACATAAGCCCAAGCAACACAGGCCTAGTCTGAGGCCTGCTAACAATGGACAAAACATGGCTAACATAAAGCGAAGCTAAGCTGTGAGCAAGAGGCAGGCCCCTACTGACAGAATTTGGCACAATCAGGGCTGACAGTGCAAAACATTAATTGGTAATAGGCCTAGGTGCAGAACAGTAATTGGTACCAGTCATAAATTGAAATCACATGTTACCACCAGCTCATTAAAAAAGACCTTGATACCTGCTCCTCACAGATACAGACCCAGGTTCAGGAAAGGGTCTAAAATGACAGCATGATGGATAGAGATGATCTAATCAAACCACAAGGTACAGGGCGATGGGTGATATTTAAGTACCTGTTATCAGATGCCGCCACCAGTGTGGTGCTCTGTCATCTGTTCTGCTCCCTTCAGTGTTGATAACCGTTTGGCTGCGTGTGGTGCATGTGCTCTCTCCAAATACTTGTGCTCTTTCTGAATGCTGTGCAGGCTCTACACAGGTAGCCAACACTGCAGTCTTCTAAGAGCCCCCAATGACCACAAATCAGACAAGGTGCAAAGCCAGTGGAACCAGATTTATTGTCAAATGACTTACGGTCTCTAGCATCCTGGGCGTCTAGACCAGACGTCAACAGTTTACAATAGTATATACGCACTATTTTGCAACAATAGCTGCCCCAGAGGCCAAAAAGTGTGGAAAAGATGGTCTTCTCTTGGGCCCCAGGTTCCAGTGAGATTTGCCAGTACTCTTTTGACAAATCTAAGGTGGATATATAACGGGCTCTATCCAGGCGCTCTAATAATTCATCCACTCGAGGCACGGGGCAGGCATCGAATTACGAGATGGCGTTAACCCATTGGAAGTCGATACAAAATCTGACCGTGTTATCCAGCTTAGGTACCAGCACAATGGGGCTTCTCCAGTTGCTGTGTGATTCGTCAATGATGCCCCGTTGTTTCATCAATTGCAACTCTTTCTGAATGGTTTCCCACATTTTCCACAGTAGCAGAGGTTCTGTAGTGATCTTGTGGCATCCCTCTGAGGTCTGGCCAGGGGTGGAGGTGAGGACGTCGCCATATCTTCTCAGATGGTTCTTGATCTGTTGTTGTTGGGACGTCAATAAGTCCTCCCCTATTGTCACCACCCCCTCTTCCTGTTGGTCTTTCCTCCATGGGCCCAAGTCCTCCTCGGATCCCGGGGGTACCAGCATCAGGCTATCCCACTCTACCCATTTCTTTAACAGATTAATGTGAAATATCTGGGTATGCCTTTGCCTCCCTGAGAGTCGTACTTCATAGTCTGTTTCCTCAACCTTCCGGATCATTTCGTAAGGGCCTTGCCACTTTGCCAAAAGCTTCAATTCCCTGGATGGCAGGAGGAGCAATACTCAATCTCCCAGGTCGAACCACCATGCTCTAGCTGTCTGGTTATAGTAATGTGCTTGTTTGGTCCGGCTTTTTAACAGGTTCATCTTGGCGTATCCCCCCTACTTTCAGCAACCTCTCCGGTAATTGTAGTACGTACTGCACTGTACCTTGACAGCGGGTGGACTGCTCCTCCCAGTCCTCTTTCAGAATATCCAGTATTCCCCGAGGTTGGCATCCATAAAGTAATTCAAATGGGGGAGAAGCCGGTGGAAGCTTGGGGGACTTCCTGGGTGGCGAATAACAGGGCTGGTAGCATCTGATCCCAATCCCTGGGGTCCTCCTGAATGCATCGCCACAGCATCTCTTTCAAGGTGCGATTCAATCTTTCAACAAGACCATCCGTCTGTGGGTGGTAAACTGATGTCTGTAACATTTTGATCTTCAATAAGCGACACAACTACTTCATTAAATGAGAGGTAACTTTGGTACCCTGGTCTGTCAAAATTGCTTTTGGGAATCCCACCCTTCACCAATTCCATTGCGAGGGTGGGGGCCCGCGTGTTTCGTAGGGGTACTGCCTCGGGGGACTGGGTCACATAGTCGAGGAGTACTAATATGTAATGGTGGCCCATTTGGGAAGGTTCAAGGGGTCCCACCAAGTCTAACATGATGCACTCGAAGGGCATGCCCACTACCGGGAGGGGTATAAGTGGGACCTTGGGTACCCCAGGGTTTGCAACCTTTTGACAGTCGGGACAAGACGCACAAAAATCCCACACTGCCTGATAGACCCCTGGCCAATAGATCCTTTGGAGGATCCGGGCTAGGCCATGGATTGGCATGTGCCAATTCCAAGATTTCCCGGTGGTAGGTGTGGGGTACAACCGACTGTTGGACTTCTCCCTTTCCACCCCTGACCCCAGCCACCCAGTAGAGATGGTCCCTTTTTACCTGAAAATACGGTCCTTGAGATCCCTCTTTGCCCGGCTTGTCTACTTCCAGCTCACCCATCTCAGCCTGTTCCCATGCATTCATCGGGGTTGGGTCTTCGCGTTGTTCGCGTAAGAAATCCTGACTCGTATCTATTGGGGTCCCAGCCCCTCGGCTTGGTTTGCCCCCTTTGTGATCGGGGTCTCCTCAGTTGGGCACTTCCTCAGCCCTAGGGAGCACATACCCTTCTTCCCATCTGGGACCCCTGCTCCCCAGACCGCCTGCTCTCCCTCTTCCCAGCGACTCTCTGGCTCTGCGCTGCCCTTGCATCTCGCACCCTGCTCCCCCCAGCTCTGTGCTGCCCATTTCCTGCACTGCCCCTAGACCCTAATCCCTCTGCCCCTCCCGTTCCCCGCATCCCATTCCCCGTGCCTCCACCGCACCCTGCTCCCCCGGTCCCTGCATCCCTCTAGCTCTGTGCCTCCCATTCCCTGTGCCACCTCTGTACCCCTCCCCCACTGTTCCCTGTACCCCTCTGGCTCTGTGCTGTCCCTGCACCCTGCTCTCCCTATGGGTTGGGAGTGAGTGGCATTTGCCCATAGGCAGGGGCTGGACAGGGCAGGGAAAAGGCTGCTGTGACCTAGCAGTGAGTGAAAGGGGGTGTTCACTTGAAGTGCCTTTGCCTTTATGGAAAAAAATGAATGAAAATGCTATTTGCTATTTATAGGGCTAAAATGCCAGAACAAAAGAAAACAAACAAAAAAAAACCCCTATTGCAAAATGCAAACATGTAAAAAACAACAAAAAAAGGGGTGGGGGAGCCAAAAAATGTTTTGCTTGGGGCAGAAAAAAACCTGGAGCTGGCCCTGGGGGAGGGGAAGGGGCTGGGCTGTGGAGAGGAAAAATATGGGGAAGGGGCTTGTGCGGAGCAGAAGAAGCAGAAGCAGAAGAAGCAGCAGCAGAAGAAAGGGGAAGGCACCAAGGGACAGGGGTGCAGGAGAGACAAATGCCAGGGGGCCAAGTGCAGACAATGAGATAAAGGGCAGGAGGGGAGGTGTCAGTGGGAGGGAAGACAGGGTGATGCTGGGAAAGGTGAGAGTAAGGGCACTGGGGGCTAGAGGGGTGAGGGGGAGGTGCTGGGAGAAGGCTTGAAAGAAGGAGTAGGCATGAAGAAGGTGGGGATGTAGCACGGCATGTGTGAGGGCACAGGGGCATGAGGCGAATGGGGGCAGAGGGTGGTGAGGGGGTGGTCA